TCTCAATGTCAAAAGTCTGGCCATTCAATCGAGCTAGGTTCCTATTTTTTAATTCCTTTTTTTTTTTTGCAGAAGGAAGGGCGATCAGCAGCAAAGCTCCCTGTCAGACATGCGATCGATCACATCGTGCCGAAGTGATTCCATGCGGGGGATTTTCAATGTTTGCTTTCAATCTGTTGTCGTCGGGTTGAAAAAAAAAAACTCCCTGTCCAGTCTCTTTCATTGATCTCACGAAATTGCAGACTTTCAGAATCCATTGCTCCACCTTCCTTGTAAAATGAAAGGCTCACGGTATGAGAGTCCCTGGAATTGTCATTCTAGATTGTTTACGGAAAGTTTGATTTCAAAGTGACGTGAAGATAAAAAAACAAAGAGCACGGATGATGTAAGGCACGATATATATTCACATTTCATCCGATCATTAAAATTAAATGAAAGCTTGCCAGATGGACAGTTTGTATCAAATTGTTTAGCCTTGCCCCTTTCCCATTAAAGTTTGGTCTGGAATTTGCAACTGATATTTCTACTTGGTTGGGAAAAGCCAACATTAAAGGTGTACTAAAGGTGTACATCTTTAATTCATGCTACTGAAAGCGGAGTTAAACGCCGGCCTGATGGGCCACATTGGCTCGGGACAGACTTTACTTTAACTTTACTTTCCTGGGGAACTTCAAAATTAAAATGATTCCAGAAAATATTACAGGCATGACAATCAGCCTTCAGGGGTAACATACATTACTGATGACTGTCTCAACATACATGTACATGTGGATATACCTAATTTCTCATACATAATACTGTCAGGGCATTATGTACAGAAGCTGGGCACGGGTGTCGAGGGGGGGGGGGGGGGGGGGGAGGACACCCCCACCAAGTAATAATTTTTATCAGCGAATATGGCTCAACTAATAGCACCACCTATTGTCTAACAGTGTCCAAGATTTGAACAGCACCCCGCTTTGCGGCGGCAGGGTGACCGTAAAATTAAAAAAAATCAGGCTCCTTCAAAACAGATAGCATGTCAGCAAATTGGTGTTGAAACCCCTCCCCCTTTCCAAATTGTATAGAGTCTGGCGGAGTTCTACCTACTTCGATCCTACAAAATCGTCAAAAACCCTCACAGTTCATTAAGAAGAATCTTTAATTACGGTTGCGCAGCCGTCATTACGCACTTTTGTTTGCAGCTCATACATTTGCTTGTACATGTATACAAGCGCATCCCGGGAACGAGGTCCGCTAATTTCCAAGGTCCTCGCTAACGTCATCGTTAACATTAACGATGCGAGTTACATTAACGAGCAGCTTCTAAAAGAAACCGTACCTTATTAATGAGGAACACTGTACACGGTCGCACGACCCAACGTTAACGATGCGAGTTACATTAACGAGCAGCTTCTACAAGAAACCGTACCTTATTAATGAGGAACACTGTTCAAGGTCGCACGACCCAACATTAACGATGCGAGTTACATTAACAAGCAGCTTCTAAAAGAAACTGTACCTTATTAATGAGGAACACTGTAGAAGGTCGCATGACCCATTAAGACCGGAAAAACAGCGCACACTGCGCATTTTAATGACACGTGTGGGTGAACACTTAAAGTGCCGGTGAAACAGAAAAAGGACCAATTTGAAGAACGGGGTCATAGAAACGGCACAATCACAAACCATACATGGACATATAAAGATGCTTAGTCTCTGCATATTGTATTTTACGAACGGCTCTCAATTAAAAAATAACAACGGCTCACCACGCACGTCCTCAAGTTTTGACCGCAAAAGACTACGGCATCAAAACGTAGATCAATCATCATTCAATTTTCCGTAAGAGGATTTTTGCTCTAAATTACTAATTCCCCGTCTATGCCATTATCCACTTCAAACTATTATCCCCAACATGCCCAAGAGCCATTAAGCTGTAAAAGCCATAATGGTTTACCCAGAAACAAGTTTATATTTATCATGTTTATATCTTCATGGTAATGAAAACAAGGATTCCTCAAAAGCGTCCTAGGAACTGTAGCTCGAAAGCCAGAAAAAAAAACCTGTAAGAAGAAGAAGAATTACAGTTTTAGAGGTGGGAGGAAAACCCCAGAAGACTTTTCCGGGGGGAAACCCACAGAATCAGGCAGGGACTGAAAACCCAATCCACATGTGGTCTGGGTAGGAATGGAACCTGGGCCACGGCAATGGAAGGCGAGGAAAGTAACCATTGCGCCAACCTACATTACACCCAAAGTTGACAGATGCCAAAGTGAATGCACATGTAGTTTTAAAGTAAAACTTGCATTAGCCCCAAAATCAATGATTTAAATTAGATGGTTTGCTCTTTAAGTTCATTTCTCTACTTTAAGTCTTATTTTTATATATTTTGTGCTGAAAATTTTGAAAATTTGCATGGTTTACATAAAAAGTAAAAGAAGACATGCAATTTCATACACCACGTCCCAAAAGACCCGTAACATATTTTTACGATTTACGGGTATTTCGGGACGCGCTGTAGATCTACTTTTTGACCGGGGAAAAAAAAACTTCAGTTAATTTCTGCATGCATCATCAACAAAATGTTCTAAGGCACCAAATATCATGCAAGTACCTACGGACTAATCAGACGATGGCCATTTTCTGCGATGGTATCACTCAGGCTCACGCGAGTCACGCTCAGGTGGTACGTACGCACGCACTATAGACTCTTTCGACCAGTAGTGTTACCAAAATGCATGCGCACCTTGCCTTTAAGAAGAACGCGTGCCCCACGCGTGCGGCACGCGTGGGGTACGCGTGGGGCACGCTTGCGGCACGCATGTGGAGTACGCGCGAGCGTGGCACAACCTCAAAAATGGTGTCTTATTTTGTTCGCAGGATTACACAATAAAGCAGAAATCATTGCTTAATGCTTAGCATATTTCTTTCATGCTGAGCAGGGATGCAAGGGAACCAGTCACTGAGAGACAAAACAAAACTAATAACGTTTCAATCAGGTTAATGTAATTTCATGCTAAGCAAGTTTGAGAGCTCAGTCAGATTTGAGTAATTAATCCTTCAACCATTGACAGTTTCTCCTAGGCCTATGGGCCTTATTCACGAGTGGGCCATTTTTGTCGAGTTCCCTGAATGTATTTCATTAATTGTTAACTGCTGAATGGCATGGCGCCAGACTATTTATGCAGGCACAATGCAGCCTTATTTTATTGTCAATTTTCTTTTTCAAATATGGCTTTAAGCATTAGGGAATGTTTAATTATAAATTTTAAATTATTCATTGAAGCGGACTGGAATTTATTATAAACGAACTTGCTTTCATTTCTCTTCGCAAGTTCCAAAATTTAAGATTTTACCTAACTTTCAATTCAATATGGCCGACTCGTGAATAAGGCCTATTGTTTGATCAGTCACAGACAGTCAAAGTGTCATTCCACTTCCCCTGCCATGCATTAAGGCAAAAAAAAAAAATATTCGGTCTCTGGTCAGACCAAAGTTCCAGAATTGACGCGGCGACGCGGCTTTGTTTTTTTTTTTTGCTTTTTTTTCTTTTTTTCTTCAAGCTTGGATTGTACAGACAAGGTGGGGTACTAGTTTGCTTTTTTGGTGTCCTCATGTACATTGGTGTCCTCCATAATTTGCCTTGGTGATCTTGATCATTTGCCTTGGTGCAATTTCCCATTCCTTGGTGCTCTTTGGTAAAAAAAAGTTGAGGAGGTGCGGCAATAGAGCTGTTGGAGCTACCGCGGAACATTTTGGAAAAAAAAAAGATTGACGCGCATGATTAAAATCCACGCGCACGCTGACCAGAGACCGACTTATTTTTTTTTTTGGCCTAATATACAGACTAGTAAAACGACTGTCAGATCACATTCGCGTTAACTTTCATCAAACAGACAATTTTTTTTAAGAGGTTAACTGGTAGGTACAGCTGGCATATCAATCCCCTCCGGACAAAGCAAGGCTGTATCAAAGAGGGAATTCTTCACTGTTAAAGACAGTCACTGGATTGATTTTGACTGTGGTGATGGCGTAGCTGAAATTGCCAATCAGAGAGGGAAGGTTATTACAAGATCCATCTCCTCCCCCCCAAAAAAAATATCATGACTTCAATTCTGATTTTACTATCGCTAGCCATGCAGTTTCAGAATTTCATCAGTTAAAAATTTAGAAAGCAGATCAGAATGCTGACGGAATAAGTATTGTCATGCACGGTGTCAAGGCCAAGTAAAATAAAAAAGAGTTTCTCATCCCTGCCCACTTCCTTTTTTTTCTCCAGCAGCCTCCTTTTTTCTTTTTCTTTTTTTTTCTGTTCTGAAGTTTTAATGACATTTGCCAGCTTTTTATGAGTTTCCACCAAAGTTGTTGCTAGGTATGCAAGTTCAAAATCTGGTAGAAATTGCGACGGCTCCTTTGGACACAAAAGTAACAGTAAATATATCTTGGAAATTCCGCCATCTTGAAAAAAAAGGGCTGCCTCCTCCTTTTTTTGAAAAGCCAGGACTAGAAAAATTTTTTTTTGTTACTTGGCCTAAAAGGTGACAGTTTGACTGATTGAGGGCGCTCTACATATATCCATGTTTTATCTACTGTGCACTTTTCAATGAATTGTGATTGACGTCAGGTTCGCCTTTGGACTGACTTGTGATGACTTGTGATGACTTGTGATGACTTGTGATCACTTGTGATTACTTGTGATCACTTGCGATCACTTGTGATCACTCTTGATTACTTGTGATCCTTGTGATTCCTTGAGATTATTTGTGATTCCTTAAGATCACTTGTGGTTTCTTTGTGATCACTTGTGATCACTTGTGATTACTTGTGATCACTTGTGATGGTCTGTGACGACTTGTGATGTCTAAATTATAACATCTCTCCAGTCATTGAGCATTTTGCAAGTTTGTCATTTCCAAAGCCAAGCACACTGCGATACGACACAAATTCATTGAAGAGCGCCCTCTATCGGCCAACCCATTGCTTAGTGTTGGTTATTTCGTATCGTCAAACACGGCTACCTGGATCCCCCGATGCGGGCGGTATGGTTTCCCTCCCCCTCGCTCTGAGTCCGGGGGCGGATAACCGATGACAACAACGACGACGTACCAGTTGTCCCCAACGACGCGCTGAACAGAACGGGGGGGAAAAGGGCACGTCAACAACAAATTCATAGTACACATATGTGGCGTTACTCTGGTAACCGGCCAAGCTGGATTTCCTACACCATGGCAACGTAAGTTGATTAAGAATGCAACGCAAACACAATTGTCGCGTTTGGAATCTGTCTTGAATTCAGCAACTCAAGCAGATATATAGAAACGTGGAGTTAAGCTTTAACCATTAACCAAGGTTGCTACAGGCGTGTAAACTTACTTTTACAGTTATGTACATATACATTGTTAAAGGTAGACGGTAGAGAGGACCATTTGCAACTATCCAGATAGTTACTGACCAAATCATTGTTAAAAAGCTTACTTGGTTTAAAGATAGTAATGACACTACACTCCCTGTGAAATTATTCCTTCTGGCATGCTGTCATTTTGAAGAAAACAATCTTAGAAGATCATTTCCAAAGATGTGTCAAGCGACGCATTTCTGGAAATTTCCGTTAGTAGAATGTAGTTGGTTTGTAATTGGGTGAATCCGTGAATGGGTGCGTGCAAGCATTGACACGACGCACATGCCCGTGGTTGTTATTTCTGTTGGTTCAGTGCATGACATTGCGTAGCTGCAATCGGCTGAATGAGAACGTGCCCCGGATACTGATTTCGGGCACAATCCAAAACACGACTCGGCAACTTTTGAATTGACATCGAGATCCCAGAATATTGTTTTCTCACATACATACAGCATTCACTGAGCTAAAAGTTCGCCAGGTTAGTTGATCAGCACCCATCTTTAGATTATGAGCACTTTTGCTACTTCAAACGAAAACAAAATGTATCAATGACAAATGGTCTATCCTACCCTTTAGGGTTTTGTACATTATTTAAATTCCCGATGGGGGGCCACTGAGGACGCTCAAACGCATCGCTAATGACGTCTGACACTCACACGAAAAAGCTATGGGTTGGCAAGCATTCAAAATATAATTAGTAGAGTATACTTTGCGCCATACCCGTGACAACGAGTGCTACGCGCACGCAGTGTGGCCATCCCACTGGGACTCAAAAAAATGGTCAAAAAAAGCGTTGTCTTATGTTTGTGCATGGAATCCACAGGGATGCTAAAAAAAAATGTAATACATTAATTGTATACTTTGTATACAATGTAATTCTTGAAGGTTACATGCAGGTACAGGCTCATACAAATGTAATTGTGGAACGGATACATTGGGGGAAAAAGGGGCACAGAATACATCTATGCTTGGGAGTTTAGTGGGGCAGATAGGGGAAATATTTGGGGGGGATTGTGCCTTTGATGATACAAGTGTTGCATTTGGCACACAGTCAGAATATGTCTTAAGAAAGATACTTGGCTATAGGGCCATCACAGATTTGTCCTTTGAAAAAATGTAGGAAGAATAACAAGCAATTTTCAAAACTTTCAAAATGGCTGCCATTGCTTGTTATTCTACCTATATTTTCTCATGACATATGTGACCTGTTCTGTCAAAATCAGACTTTTCTGGGCATAAGGTTGAAAATGATATTTTTACATATTGTTAACATATGTTCTTTTTCCTTTTAATAGGTGGTTTAATTTTTGAAACCGGTCATTCCTGGGCAGAGTTATGCTATTTTGAAGTTCATTTTGTCGAAAAGTAGAAAACGGAGAAAATGGCCACGAACGTCACAAAACAGTTATTTCTTTAACTGATATACCTTATCAAAATCATCAAAAATAGTATATGTAGAGTTCAAATTAGGGTTTTAAACTTTTATAGTATATTTTAGACATGTTCAGGATTACAAATATGCAAACATTTGAAAATCGATAAAAATCACCCCCACAGGGTTTTTTGGCCCTATCTCAATTTCAACCTCTGCCCAGAAGCGTCTGCTTTTGACAGAACAGGTCACATATGACTGTGGGCCGAATGCCATGCTTGTACCACCAAAGGCACAATCCCATCACCCATCTGCCGTCCAAGTTTAGTAGAATCTGGAAGTCTGTGGATAATGCGCTGAGCCATGCAGTTAAAGTCTACAGAGCAAAGGGATCAGTAGGGATGCAGGCAGGACGGGGATGCTTGTCCGTGTATAACTGGCGGAAAGCAATCCGCACGTTTGGCAAATAAGCCTGCGGTGTTGATCTGTGACTCGCCTGAGTGGAATTAAACAAACAATCCGTCCACGCAGGGCACTACACTTGATGCAACTTTGTCATGTTCGTGTGCCTGCAAGCAGCCTTTTGTTACATCACGCAAGGCAACCGATGTATCGATCTTCACACCCCATGCAATGCATTATAAACGGACAACTGCAACTACGAAAAAAAAAAGACATCCACGAGAGTGTCCATTCTCCCTGCCTTCCGGTAATAAGTACCAAAAAAAATTGGTGACTTATCCAATAAATAAATAGCCATACAGATCATCTGCCTGTATGCCAATGTCTCAGTTTCATAGTCCGTGTATTATTTCCCGGCCTTGAGGCAAAGCACTGATGATCTTGTGAACAGCCTCCGGTCAGCGGAAATTCAAAACTTGTCACGCGGGAAGCGATTAAATTAACGGGCGAATTATATCCGTGTGCGTCGCAAACGCACGTCAGGTCAATGCTCAGTTAAATGCTATGGCACTTAACAACTTTAGGTGCTAAGCACGAAACAGCGGAGAACCGGCCACAAGCAGTACACACTGCATGACGTTTTGGCCGGTAACCTTTAGTTTCTGTGGTTAGCAATTACGTCCCGCCAGTCTGAGAATCCTTCTTGCTTATTACCCCTGTTCGTCAGGCCATGAGACCAGTTTTCTGCAGTAGCTGGAGATCGGCGCATTCTGGTCTCTACCCTCACAGGTACCAACTTTTATAAACTCCTAGGTGGAGAGAGGCAGTGTCTTGCCCAAGAACACGAGCAAAATATAATCTGGTCTCTATCCTCACAGGTACGTTACTGATTTAAACTCCAAGGTGGAGAGAGGCAATTGTAGTTAAGTGTCTTGCCCAAGAACACAAGCAACATATAATCTGGTTTCAACCCTCACTGGTACCGATTTAAACTCCTAGGTGGACAAAGGCAATTGTAATAAAGTGTCTTGCCCAAGAACACAAGCAACATATAATCTGGTCTCTATCCTCACAGGTACCGATTTAAACTCCTAGGTGGAGAGAGGCAATCGTAATAAATCGTCTTGCCCAAGAACACAAGCAACAAATAATCTGGTCTCTACCCTCACATGTACCCATTTAAACTCCTAGGTGGAGAGAGGCAATTGTAGTAAAGTGTCCTGCCCAAGAACACAAGCAACAAATAATCTGGTCTCTATCCTCACAGGTACCGATTTAAACTCTAGGTGGAGAGAGGCAATCGTAGTAAAGTGTCCTGCCCAAGAACACAAGCAACAAGTAATCTGGTCTCTATCCTCACAGGTCCCAATTTCAACCCCTAGTAGAGAGAAACAATTGTAGTAAAGCGTCTTGCCCAAGAACACAAGCACCATATTAATCTGGTCTCTACCCTCACAGGTACCCATCTACTCCTAGTAGAAAGGCAATTGTAGTAAAGCGTCTTGCCCAAGAACACAAGCACCATATAATCTGGTCTCTACCCCTACAGGTCCCGATTTAAATATTTCTGGGTGGAGAGAGGCAAGTATAGAAAAGTGCCTTGCCAAAAACAAAAATAAATTATGCTCCCATGTGGATTTCAACCCATTTATAAATAACGTAGTTGAACACGATAATCATAATGGACTACAGTACTACAACTTAAGAAAAATGATCTTTTTCTAAAGGCTAAAAAAAAAAATCAATTGTGATTCTTATAATCTTTCTCTCAGGATAAGGGAAGAAAAAGTGATTTGGAGCCAATTTCGATTGACAGTTTTATTAACGATGTCCCACAGTGAACTATCAGAGCCTCGAAATCCAATATGTGATGGCATTTTCCAAAGACAATAAACTGAAACGGCTCTCTCCACAACTTGATCATCACGTATGACACCAGAAAATAATCTCCGACAATCCCGCACGAGGCAGCGAAAACGAGGACAACTACATGTATCAATTTGCAATTTTCAGTATTTCTTATAGCTCCACCTGTTCAATTACCATCAAATGATTTGTCTTGTCCAACCCTACCGTGTTTCCCAGGGGAGGGGATTGAAATACAAAAATGTAAGACCTCCAACGGTAAGATGCCTGTTTCAGAAAAACAGCTTTTGTAAATTGAGATGCAATACAATTTTCCATGTATTTATCAGCAGACGTGGGGGTCGATTTACGTTTTCCATTTTCAATGACAGATAAATGTGTGAATCGTGGAGTCCAAGTCATCGGACTCTTAAACTTAAAAAGTGGAGAAGAAAAATTTACAATGTACATGGTCATTAAAATTTGGGTAATTCTATAAATGTGGGATTCAATTTTTCCTATTCCTAATGCATCTGACATTTCTGATTTTTTTTTTTAATTCTGATACACTCCTTAATAAAGCAACATTAATAACACCAGAAGCAATATTTATGAGGTGAAAAAATAATGTACTTTTAAAAAGTTCTGCTTGCAAGTGAGAATTTTAAGAGTTTTCAAAAACTAGCAGCAATTTATCACCGTCGGTCAACTACTGCTAGCGCAACCGTAACTTCACCTGTTGTACACTGGTCCCTCTACCCTGTTTCGTGTCAGTTTTCAGATATTTTTGGGACTGACAATCTACGGTATGCCTGGAAAACGAAGAAAAAGACCAGAAAGTCTGGTCGGCCGTTCGTTGTTTTGCAATCCATCTCGAATTACGGAGTTTGATTGATTGTTTTCTTAGCGAGAGGACAGAATTTTTTTTCGGTCGTGAGATTACGACTCTGTCATAATAGCCTCATGTCTGCAGTAATACGTTGCCAAGCAGAAACGGCAGGATTTACGCAGATGGGGGGAAAACAAAATATCAGAAATCCTTTTTTCCCCGGTGGAACGGCCGGTCGTGAAGAAATTGCAAGTCAGGGCTGCTTGAAAGCCATTTGTTT